TTTGGCCTAGAACAAAGTTTGTAGATGTTATCTTAACGGGTTCTATGGCCCAATGTATTCCAACACTTGAATACTGTTGCGGTGGGCTCCCTTTAGTTTCAACTTATTATTCTGCTTCTGAAGGTTACCTTGGCATCAATCTTGAACCCCTGTGCAAGCTCTCTAATGTCTCTTACACTCTCCTTCCTAATATGGCATTCTATGAATTCATTCCTATAAAGGAAAACCATACAGAATTGGCTGATCAGCCTCAGCATTTGGAAGGTGTTTATGATCAGGATTGCATAGAAACGCAGGACACAAAGGAAGAAATTGAACCGGTTGAGCTCGTGAACGTGAAGCTTGGTCAATGTTATGAAATTGTTGTCACTACTTTTACAGGTAGGCTCTTCATTGCTCTTGTGATCATCTTGTATGCCAATTAAACTTTGCAGCTTTCCCTTTTAGTCCCCAAGGAGCTCATGGAATAAAGTATTATGATTTTATTTCTCATAATTATTTGAAAACTTTTCAGGCCTATACAGATACAAAATTGGAGACGTTCTCAAGGTAACTGGTTTTCACAACAATGCTCCTCAGTTTGCGTTTATGAAAAGGCAAGGTGTCCTTTTAAGCATTGATGTGGAGAGTACAAGGGAAGATGGCCTGTCGAAGGCAGTGACACAGGCAAAGCTCCTGATTGAGCCACGCGGCTTCCTTCTGACCGACTATACTAGTTATGCTGATACTTGTTCTACACCAGGGCACTACGTGTTATTCTGGGAGCTTAAAATGAAAGGAAGTGATGATCTTCCGGAGATTAATCCCAATATAACAGAGGAATGCTGCTACATTGCGGAAGAATCACTAGATTATGCGTATAGACTTCTGAGGAAGGACAAGACGATAGGGCCATTAGAGATAAGGGTGGTAAAACATGGAACATTTGATGCTCTAATGGACTTTTTCATAGCGAAAGGAACTTCTGTGAGCCAATACAAGACACCCCGATGCATCAAGTCCGAGGAAGCTTTGACGGTAATGGATGCTGGAGTGGTTGGAAGGTATTTTAGCCAAAAGGCTCCGAAGTAGGGGTAACTAAATAAATGGCATATATATCTTTTAGTGTTCTTCCGAAGTTTTCTTCCCAGTGTTGTGTTGTGCTTGGAGTCGTTTGATATTTTAATGAGATTCAATAATCAATAAAGTTGTTATAAACTCTCTCCTTCACGATTTGTTTGTCCCTGATTAATCATTTTATCAAACAAATTCAACTCCAATTAAAAGCTGAATTGATTTATAGAACAAAAGTATATAAAAATCTTTGCAAACAATATGGGAGAATTATACTCAAAAACTGACTTAAATACTATTCCTGTTTTCATATATGTTCGATGTTCGCTTGCACGAGAAGAGCTAATTCTCTTTTTATCTCAAAATTTTCATCTCATTCATCCCATAAATTCGAGCTTTATATTGTAATAATTTAATTATTTTTTGAATCTAAAATTGACTAAAGTAATTGTTACCATATACAAGAAAAGAGAGGATATAATATCTAAAAAAGTCTTTAACTTATTAAATAAAATTTAAATAAGTCTTTATTCTTTTAATTATTTCAATTACGCTCTTATACTTTCATTTTAAGTCAATTATATCTTTATATTTTTATTTTAAGTCAAATAAATTTTTATAATTAATAGTTGACTTAGTTAAAATGACACTTTCCATTTACATCATATCGCATAACATGTTAACATGTCACGATAAATGATGACGACATGGTCATGTAACATTTTTTACTCCCATATTGATGTCACATAAATATAAAATAACAAATGATATTTTGATTAATGATAATTAATTAACCATTAGTCATAAAAATTTATTTAACCCAAAATAAAAGAAAAAGACTATTTCAATATTCTTGAATATTTAAAGAATTTTTTTTAGTATTAAGCCAAAAAAAAAAAGCAATTGCTATCAAAATGATTATAATTAGTAAGAGGCATATGATTATTAGTGCTAAATAAGGAGACTATTAAATGCCATAGTCACAATTGAGAGGACATAAGGATTAAAATAATTTAGGTATAATGTTCAAATAAATTCTTCAATTATCGAAAAAAATTCAAACAAGTTTTTATTTTTTATTGCATTTAATCAAGTGCATGTTCTTTTATTTTGAATCAAATAAGTTCTTGTGATTAATAATTGAGTAATTGTTATTAGTTAAAATATCACATATCATTTTATATCTATATAGCACTAACACAACATTTATGTAAATGGTAAAAAATTCACATAGTTTTATTACATATCAAATAGTATGTCGCATCATTATCAATCATGACGTATCAACATATTATATATCATCAATTATAATATGTTAACATACACCGTCAGTGCCACACTATTTAAAATAACAAATAACATTTTGATTAAATCAATCATTAGTCATAAAAACTTACAACTCAAAATAAAAATATAAAAATTTATTTAAATACTATGCTAATAATTTATTTGAATTCCATATTCATCCGTCAGTATTTGATGCATGTAGAAATGAAAAATATGAACAATGTGAACTACATTAGAGAGTTTTAGAAATTGATAAAAATTAAAATATTCCTTTTATAATGAGAAATGGAAGATTTGAACTAGTGTTTTAACCATTAATTAAATAATTTAATATAAACAAAAAAAATATATGAAATAAAATATATATTAATGTATAAATTAGAACAATCAAAATTTTAAATTCACACGTTATGAGGTTATATATTTTAACTATATAATTTTCTTGAGAAATGTTATTTTTAATTATTATTTTGTTTTATAAAATCCAACCATCAAACTTTCAAAATTCTTCATCATCCCAAATAGTTGATGCAGACATGACAAAAATAAAAAAATTGTAAGATAAAAGGAAACATGGAATTCTTACATAGCAACTATGACTGTTTAACATCAAAATTAATTGGATAATGAAAGAGAAAATAGGGCCCAACGTCAAACTCAAAAAAGATCAAACCAGACCTAACCCGGCGTGATACGTCCCGGGCGAACTTAACCAAATATAAAAAATTAACCAAAAAGGGGAAATCCCAACCGAACCTAACCCAAAACCGGATCCAAATCGTCACCCGTCCATTTCATGCTTTTCCTTCTCTGATTGGTTCCCATAAAACGATACAATTATTAAAACAAAAAGTCTGAGCGACGTTGACCCACCCAAAATCTTATTCGGATCTTGACCCAAATTCTCCTCCATAATCCAAACTCGGATCCAATCCCAACTCTCTCTCTCTCTCTCGGTCCTCCCGCTCTCTCCCGTTTTCCTTTTTCTTTTTCTGTTATCAAGAAGATCCAAACCCTAATACCTTCTCGGATCCTCCGACCGGGCTTGCCCGTGGAACCAAGCTTTTTCTCTGATAAACAATCTGGTAAGACTTCCTTTTGTTTTGTTTACATTCTACTTTTTTCTGATTTTTTTCTTTTTTTTTTTGCTGGGTTTTTGGTATTTAGTATTATGTGTTTTAATTGTGGGTATTTTGAGTAGACCCATTTGGATATTTTGGTTAAAAAACATTTGGGTATTTTGATGGGTTGTTGATTTAAAAGGGTTGGTTTTTGCGAATTGTTCTTCTGAGTTGAGTTTGAATTTGATGCTTTTAAGCGTTTATTCTTGTCAGAGTTTTCTTATATTTGTATTTGTTTTATCAGAAAAAACCTTTTTCTAATGGAATTCAATTAAAACCTTCTTGTTCTAAGAAGTGAATTGAATTGAATTTGAAATTGGTGGCTTTTGATTTTTTTTTTTGCTTTTTTGTTATTACTAATATTAATTGGTGTTGATTTTGATAAGACCATTAGTTTTGGTTTGATAAATTAGAGCAGTTTTTTGCTTTTTTTTCTTTTTCGAGAAAAAGAAAAACCCTTTTTCTTGTTGGGGTTTGGCTAAAGTTTGCTTTTTATAAGCGTTGCTTTTTTTATGCAGTTGGTGGATTATTTTTATATTTTTTGTGTTGATTTCGATTAACTGGCCATATTTTTTCTGGAAGGCTGTAGGTAAACATTCTTTTGAGAAAAAGGAGAATTGCCCATTTGGCTATAAAGAAATCGTTCTTATTAGGAAGTATAATTTTTCCCAAGTAATTGCAATTTTGAAGTCTTTTCTTGAATTCATGAAGTTTAATGATTTTCAGTTGTAGGGTAAATTGAAGAAGTTTAAATTCAGTTGGTCTGTGCTGGAGTGTTAGCTAACTCTTCCATTATGAGCTCTTATTATGGCTCTTATTCTCTTTGTTCAATATCATCAAAGTCACTATGGTCCGGGTATTTTTATGATGAGATAAAGTGGCTTACCCATCATTCCATCAGGAAAGCAGTACCAGCTTAAAAGTAGGAGATATTTTACTTTCAAAAAGCAGAAAGGGATAATTTTCATCCGTTAAGATTTGAAAGATATATCAAATATTGAATGAACTCTTTAATCCCCTAGTGGAAGGAGGCTTTGTGTATGGGTCCACTGAAGTGAATGAATGGCATGTAAAACCAACGCCAGACAAACACAAAAGAGGAACTTAGTTGGAAATAGAGGGCTAGAACTAGGATAAAGTTGAAACATATGTCTCAAGGTGTCTTGAACCTCTCCTGATTTGTCAGGTTTGAGCTGTTAAAATCTAAGAAGACCTATAAGTTACTGATTGGAACAAATTCAGCTTTTCAATGTCTTTTTATTGAGAGAATTGCAGACTGGGTAGAAGAGAAGTGAAATAGAGAGATTTTATGGAATGTTTTTTCATTTGATACAAATTTCTGAAAATCAGGGGTTTAAAAACTCTGTTATTGTAATTATCATGGTTTTCTCTGCATATCACTTGTTTACAATCCAAACAAACAGAGATATATTGAATTTCAATTCATATCACTTCTCACCTGCAGTTTTATTTATTTTCTCTGCCTTCTTGCAGTTTCTCTTCTTTTCTTTTCTTTTCTTTCTACTCCGTTCCTATCAATCCAGCTGCAAATTTTCAATATAGCATTGATTTTGCAAAATTGAGGGCAACTAGAACGATATCCAGGCAACACCAATTTGAATGTTGCAGTGCTTTTAGAATGAAAATGGCATTTTTGTTCTATATTACTTGTGCCTATCACTAACTTACAACTAATATTTACTCCTAATGTTTATGAAGACCTGGTGACATAATTATGACTGCATTTCCAGACCTGAAAAATTCAATGATATCTTTGTTGTGTTTTTTATGTATCATGTTCTGAAATTTTTGTTGTGGTGTAATAGGTAATTTCTTTATTTCCATGGGCACCTATTTTGTCATTTGACTTCACTTTAATATGCAGACTTTGGGTCATCTGAAGCCTATGCAATGGAAGTGGCTAATGAATCAGCTATTAAGAAACCAAAGAGGTTGACTTCTGTCGTATGGAACCACTTTGAAAGGGTTAGGAAAGCTGACGTATGTTATGCAGTATGTGTTCATTGTAATAAGAAATTAAGTGGATCAAGTAATAGTGGAACCACCCATCTAAGAAACCACTTAATGCGGTGCTTGAAAAGATCTAACTATGATGTTTCCCAACTACTTGCAGCGAAGAGAAGGAAAAAAGATAACACCCTTACCATTGCAAATATCAGTTATGATGAAGGGCAAAGAAAAGAGGATTATATTAAGCCCACTATTGTTAAGTATGAACAGGATCAGAGAAAGGATGAAGTTTTCAACCTTGGAAGCAGCCGGTTTGACCAAGAGCGAAGCCAGTTAGATCTTGCCCGCATGATTATATTACATGGCTACCCCTTAGCCATGGTTGAGCATGTGGGATTCAAGGTATTTGTCAAGAATCTGCAGCCATTGTTTGATGTTGTGCCAAATAGCACCCTTGAGCTGTCTTGTATGGAAATTTATGGGAAGGAGAAGCAGAAAGTTTATGATATGTTAAGTAAATTGCAAGGCAGAATTAACCTTGCTGTTGAGATGTGGTCTTCACCGGAGAACTCTAATTACTTATGCTTGACAGCGCATTATATTGATGATGACTGGAAACTACAAAAGAGGATTGTTAATTTTGTCACACTTGATTCTTCTCATACTGAAGACTTGCTTTCTGAAGTAATTATGAAGTGTCTGATGGATTGGGACATAGAGTGTAAGTTGTTTGCGATGACTTTTGATGATTGTTCTACTAACGATGATATTGTCCTGAGAATAAAGGAGCAGATCTCTGAAAACAGGCCTCGTCTAAGCAATGGTCAATTATTAGATGTGCGCTCTGCTGCACATGTTCTAAATTCACTTGTTCAAGATGCTGTGGAAGCTCTTCAAGTGGTGATCCAAAAGATTCGAGGAAGTGTTAGATATGTTAAAAGTTCACAATCAATACAAGGGAAATTCAATGAGATTGCCCAACAAACTGGAATCATCAGTCAGAAGAGCTTAGTTCTTGATTGTCCTATCCGGTGGAATTCAACATATGCGATGCTTGAGACTGCTGTAGAATACAGGAATGCATTCTGTCACTTGCCAGAGCTTGATCCGGAACTGGCTTTAAGTGATGAAGAGTGGGAATGGGCAAGTTCCGTTACTGGCTATTTGAAACTATTTATTGAAATCATTAATGTCTTCTCTGGCAACAAATGTCCTACTGCGAATATATATTTTCCTGAAATTTGTCATGTTCACATTCAATTGATTGAATGGTGCAAGAGCCCAGATAATTTTCTTAGTTCGTTGGCAGCAAAGATGAAAGCTAAGTTCGATAAATATTGGAGCAAGTGCAGTTTGGCTTTGGCAGTAGCAGCTATCTTAGATCCCCGATTCAAGATGAAATTGGTGGAGTATTACTACTCCCAGATTTATGGCAGTACTGCTTTGGAACGAATTAAAGAAGTGTCTGATGGTATCAAGGAACTCTTTAATGCATACTCTATCTGCTCAACTTTGATTGATGAGGGTACAGCTTTGCCTGGCAGTAGCTTACCTAGCAGTAGTAATGATGGTAGAGATAGACTAAAGGGCTTCGATAAGTTCCTCCATGAGACATCTCAAAGTCAAAGTGCAATATCAGACTTGGAAAAATATTTAGAGGAGGCAGTCTTTCCTCGTAACTGCGATTTTAATATATTAAATTGGTGGAGAGTTCACACACCAAGGTATCCAATCTTGTCAATGATGGCACGTGATGTTCTAGGAACTCCTATGTCAACTGTTGCACAGGAGTCAGCATTCAATGCTAGAGGTAGGGTGCTTGATAGTTGTCGAAGTTCACTGACTGCTGATACTCGACAGGCTTTGATATGCACACGAGATTGGTTGTGGATGCAATCAGATGGTGCGTGCATTATCTTTGATCTCTTTGCACAATCATTTCTAATCCATTATATATCCCTAACAATATCCTATTCTTATTACTGTAATAGACCCCAGTCCATCTTCTAGTCATTATGCTCTACCCCTTTATGTCGAAGCAAATTGATCTGTCCTTGGTAAGCCTCCGTTAAATTCTTCCCTTTATATGGCTGTGAAGAATATTATTTCGAGTGCTCTTATTTTGATGGTTTTATCATGCAAGGTACATGAATCTGTCTGACGCTGATACAATGGTGGCTGATTGGGTTGAGCACTTAGTCCTTGGTCTCAAATCAACTGCTATTTTCATGTGCATATGTCAATGTGGGTAAATTGCTAATTGCTTATGGTATTTAAGTGTGGCTTTGCTATTATAGTTTTTCCACTAGAAGCTTAAATGTACATTTTAGGATAAGAAGGCTTAAAGCTATGGCTTAATTCAAGCAACTATACTCTATTGTGGTTGATATAGTTATTTGATTTCAAGTTAGAGTTGAAATAGAAGTTGTATAGAGAGAGCTTATTGTATTCATATTTGGTTTCCTGACTTATCACCTGGGCAATAACCAGAGACTGATTTACAAGTTGAAGAAAGTTTTCTAATTTTGACTTCACGGAAATGACCTTACATATCTTTTGTCAAACCTTTTTCTTTCTTGGTGATACATAAAATAAAAGAATAAGAAGGCCCAAATGAAGCCCATTGGTGGAGTTACTATGAACAAGATAAAGTTGCAAATTGGTTTGTAAAGGTGATAATTTCCAACATCTATTCCCAACCTTTATGCCTTGTAACAAGGACAAGAGATTTCTTTTCTTTTGTTTGCCTGCCTCTTGTTTACATGTTGTAGCAGACATGCACACATGAAATGTGGAAAGAGGGAGGGGATATGATTCTTTGGTCTAGAATCTCTTAAGCACATGGGGTCTCTTTCTGGACACTACTTTTACTATTTATTGGACATATCACATTTATTTCCGGGATTCATTTGTTGCCTTCATCGATTTTCCACCTCAACATTGTGTCCATTTTTTGCAGCCAATTTCATTTTCTCAACTTTTTCTCTTTTTATTTTTTATTTTTTGAATTTCTTTTTGGTACACCAGAAAATTTATTGGATTTTCGTAAAATAAGTTTCTTTTTAACTTTTTTTTTTCTCTCACAAATATTTATGTCTAAGGAAAAAGTTTTGTCACTTGTCTAAGAATAAATAGGAAGAGGAATGCACCCATTGCATGACAAAAAATTAATGGTATAATTGCTGTCTTGTTTTGCTTTGTAATTTCCAAAGAAAAAGTTATTCATGGACAGTGAAGTTCCCTTGTACAATAAAGTTGCTTACAAGCAATAGAAGTAGTAGCAATTTGGGCTAGACATGAAGAGCACTTGTTAATCATAATGCGTCATGTTTCCTTATCATACCTGTTCTTTTTTCTTCTCGGTTGAAAATAAATGATCATTGTCAATTTTCTGTCCAAAGAGTAATGAATTTGTTCATCTTTTTGCCTCCTTTCATCATCTCAAAATCAACTTGTTGCCTTTACCCAATTAGCTCTTTATAAAGAGAAAGAGATAAAAAAAAAGGGGGGGGGAGGAAAGGAGGGTGTTCCTACACTCTCCTAGAGCTAGGTCCCTAAGTTGCCAATGTACATAATGCACTTTGGGTACCAAATGATCGAGGAGTGGAAACTTACCAAGGACCATAGAGAAAAAGAAAATTAAATATTACAATTCGTGACGTATTAATTTTTTTTTTTTACGTTTAGATATTTGACTCAATGATTAATATATAATAAATGTTTAAAGTATTTGGATGTGTAAAAAATTGTAATTAAGTACTGAAAAAAGAGATGGCAAAATCAAAAAATTTATCCTGTTTTGAATTATTGCAATACTATAATTTTTTGTATTTTTTTCTTTCCTTTTTTTTGGAGAATTTGTTTTGGAAAAAGAAATGAATAAGAAAAAAAGGGCAAATTCCTGATTCTCATATTGAAATATATGAGAAAACAGAAAAGAGAACATCTTTTTTTTATGATTTATTTTATTTTCTTCTAATAAGGTGTAAATTTTTTTATGTCATAATCAATGAGATTAATGAAGAAAATGGTCCCAATTTCATCCCATCACCCTTTACTTTCCATTTTTCACCAAGATAATGAAATCTTATCATCTTATAGGAATCTTTTTGGTATCGTGTCACTAAGATAGGGAACCTTTTCCCTCCCTTACGGTCCTTTCTGCTTAGGAATAATACATGTTAATTAGACTAATAATAATAATATATTCCCCAAAAAATAATGCTAAGAAGAACTATTACTCTATATATCAAGGGTAAATTTTCAAATCTTAATTTAAAAATTACGAGTTTATATAATTGCCCTATATATCTATTTAATAATTATATTAATTTTCTTATTTATACCCTAATAAACTCTACCATCTTTGAATTAGAATGATTTCCCTAATAATACTAATAATAGTAACAATAAAGATATTGGTTAGTAATTAACGATATTAATATAAACTCATTTATAGAGTTTAAAAGCTCCGTCATTGTGTATAAAATATTGATTCTAACTGATAAAAAAATTATTATACAAATTGCTAGTAAAATTTTTTTAATTTTATGACAGTTAAAACAATTGACACATGTGTATTAAGTTGGAATTAAGAATAATTAATATATTAACGTAATTATTAAATAAATATGCTGCCCCATATGTGAAATAAATACTAAATCCCCTGTTGATGAATGTGCTGGTCGAAGGAGCATGAAAGAGCCAAAGATGCAAAACAATCTTTTAGAATATGGCAAAGGGAATCTCAAAAAGCCGATACGGATGCTACGTGCATGAAAATTTTTCTATCTTTTTTATATCAAACAATTTCCTCCTGTCTAGTGTTGGGGTCCGATCTTGGCTTCCTTGGTCTCTTGACACCTCTTTTCTCTCTATCAAAAGATTCCAAATCAACTACAACATGTGGTTCACAATTAAGCGGCATCTTTCCTTCACTTTTATTTTTTTTATTATCATTATTTTTGTATTAATTAATTTTTTAAAAAAAAATTCATACAATTATTAATATATTATTTTCCTCAACTGGTAAATTTGGCCTTCTCATTAATGGGTGATTTTGAATTTAAATGTTTAACCTATTTTGGGATAAATTACATAAAGTGCTCTAAACTTTGTTAGTTTTAAGTAATCTTTCCATGTATATTTTAATTTTGAGATATGAAAGTTATGGTTAAGGTTTTAAATTAAAATGTTAATTAAAGAATCCTTTAATGCAAAAAGGAGTTGGATGTAGGAGAGTAAAGAAGACAACCTACCAATTACCATTATCATGAGAGGCAGTGCATTGAAAATAAAAAATGTGTAGTTGAGAAGAAATAAGGTAGGGCAGCAGTGGGTGGTGGTAGGGTGAGCCAAAAAAAGGTGGATAAAATGAGGGGATGTAGGGCGAAGGCAGGGGTCAGCCCCCCTCTAGGTAAGGTGAGCTATGTGGCTAGCTTTTGCAGCAGAGTGATGCACCAAAAGGAACAAATCCAAGGCAATCTGTACGATCCAAACAAGCATGCCTTTTTCCTCTTTATTTTAAGTGGATTATGGGAATCTCATGGATTTTACTAGCTAGTGGTGGTGGTGACTAAAGTGAGTTTTCACAAAAGCTTTAAAAAAAGGCAGCAAAAACTGTATTTCTTGGGCTTAGCTCACGTGACAGCCAAATAGACACAGTTGTTCAGAATAAAAAAAAAAAGAAAAAGGAAAAATGGGGACATATAAAAGGCCAAAAAGTTTAAGTTGCTGCTGTGATCACCATGCATAATGTTTTGGGACAAAACCTACAGACTGCCCATCAGAATTTCCTTTTTAAACTTTTAGAAATTTTAATTATTAATTCTATCACACATTAAATTAGGTTTATTTTGTTCTGTTTTGTGGCACAGAAAGTAGTGGTTTCTGACTTCATGACCAAAGCCATGTGTAGATTTGTCTGTTAGTCACCTAAAAAATATTGTGTAATAGTGTAGACGACTGTTCCTTTTTTATATAATATTAGAGATAAATTTTGAATTATTTAAAAAAATTTTAAAAAATTTTTATTTTTTATTACTTTCAATCTATTTATATTATTTAATTTTAAATTAAATAAATTTTTATAATTAATAAATAATTATAATTAATCAAAATATTACTTATCAAATTATTCTCACATGACATTATCATAACGTTAAAATAAAAAGTAAAAAACGTCATATAATCATATTATCATATAATAACATATCAAGTTAAAATCACGTAATATAAAAGGATAAGTGATATTATAATTAATATTAATTAAATAATTATTGATCATAAAAGTTTAATTATTGTAAAATAAAAATATAAAAAATTAATTTAAAATAATATAAAAATAAAGTTATATTCTACTTTTTGACCTTACCCTTTTAATAACAACAGTTAAATCAAACATTAATTAATAAAGAGAACATCGCAAACTTGTTTTTTAACTTTGACTATAGAAAAAAATTGCAAAGTGACTGTCTAATCCTACCAGCTTGAGTAAACATCAACAAGAATATGATCATTTTTGGTGGTGTGGCACTGACTTTGGTGTGTTGGCATCCAAATCCAATTGCAGCTTGTACAACTGGCATGGCCAATAGATTGCTCATTTCAATCCATTTACATCCTCAAAAACATTCCACAAAGTTTTTTTTTCCTTTTTTTGACTTGGTCAATTTGTTTTTTTTTTAATTTTTTTAATTGAAAAAAATATATTTGAATCCGACTCTTTTAGATAAAGAATCATACACTAATTAATAAATTAAATTTATAATTTTATTTACCTCTATGTGTTCTTCTTTAATATTATTTTATTTGATCTTAATCACACAGTTTAATTACTTATAAACGATATCAAAAATATAATAATAAATTAAGGATATTTATGTAACCCTCTTCTGTACTATACATTAATTCCACTCCTTATCCTATGATTATAAAAACTTTAACAGTTCAATATCTCATCACTGGGGGCTTATGTGAATGTTTATTTAAATCGGGTATATTTATTTATTGTCAATTGAAAAATTAGACTTTGAAGTTTTGTGATAAATAGATATGTAATTAGGTAATAGATAGAAACATCTGTAATAATTGGTTTGGTAAATATAAGGGGAAAAGGATTCAATTTAAACAACAGAGATAGGATGGCCCAAAAATAAGAAAAAAACAGTCTTAACTGGTTTGTAAGGTATGTATATAAAGCATTTTAGGGTTTAATTTTCTCATACCTAATTAAACTTGTAGACACGTGAGTAAATGCTTTCTAGTTAAGAGTGGGTTGGTGAATTGGGTGTAATAAGTTTTAATGCAATGATTAATATACTAATTTAAGAATGTGTTCAATAATTCGAATTCAAAAGTAAAAAGATGAAAGCAATGATCTTGTGTATAAATAATATAAAATTTTAAAAATAAAAATTTAATTTTTCACATTCGAATTACTCAAATTGATACTTTTAGAAATTTTTTTAATATTTTTTATAATTTAATCGTAGTTATGTCATGCATTATCATAAGTGAAAACAAGTATATATGATGTTCA